ATTATGCCCTTGGTTCTTCCATTTTGGGATCAGAAGTATTTATTTTTGTGTTTATTTGATTTTTTTGTTTGTTTGTTGTTTTTGTTTTTATTTTTTCGTTTTACATTAGCACACAGGTTAGAGATTTTGGATTTTTTTAAAGAGACAATAATGAATTGACCTAGAAGGGTAAGCCAAAAAATACCTTTCTGCTTTTGATCAGGGTGCTGTGTATCACGGCAACAGAATGGACTGGAACAGGGAGATAAGGAAGGGGGCCAGTGGCAGGGTGACGATGGATGCTGACTATTATCTCCCTAGACATGAGGACATGAGAAGAGGCTGTTTGCTGAGGTCTGTTTTGACCTATTGAGGCAAAGTGCTGCACCAGCTCTAGGTGAGGAAGTAGGTAAGGTAAATTCTGTCTCTATCCAAGGTAGAGAGGTCACTCATTAGGCAGCAAGGACAGCTGTGTGCACAGAAAGTGGCATCCGTAGACCACACTGATGGTGCGATGCTAGAATTGTCACACGATGTACCGAGAGATAGTGTGAGTGAAATGAGATAACAGAAGCTGGGGAAAAGGAATCTAGACACTCTCTGATTGGAAGGGAGTTGAGCAGTCCCTTACTGTAAGGCTTTGATAGAGAAAAAAAAATGGGGACTCCACTCCCAATACAACCTCTCTTCCACTGACCACACCGAGTCTCTACCATGTTTAATTTCTCATCCCCGCACATTTGATGCAGTCGGAGGAACAGAGCTGTAGTTTTGGGACTCCGCAGTTACCTGAGCAATGAACCCGATCTTTGTTTCCCACAGTTTCCAGTCTTGAGTATTTTGTTACATAGAAACAGAAAACAGACTGGGACAGAGACTGTAACTACCCAGTCTAAGCTACAGTTCCATGCATCAATTCCCAGTAACTCCCACCAAACTCATATAACCCTATCAGAGGCTCCCATTGCTGAGCTTTGTGGTTAAACAAGGCTGCCCACGCTAGGTCCTAATGCCCTTGGATTCACAGAGCCCTACCCTGTGTACAAGTCCTGTACAAATCTGCATTCCCGCCATCCAGACGGCTCACAAAACCCTGGGTGTGTGCGTGTTCTTTGGTGAGACACCATATAGATACTAACAAAGGCCTCAGAGAGAGGTTTCCAGAGCTCCTCACCGGAAGCAGGGAAGCCCACAACTGTATTTTAACTGCTCACTCAGCTGCTAGGGAAGTAGCAGAGATCTCTAAACTGTTGTCAAGACAACCAAAGCACAAATACAAACCTCGTCGGGATCCCATCCGGAAGCAGTTTTTTAAGCACACAAGTACACATGCCCAGAAGAAATAGGCTACCCTTCCCCCTCCTCTCTGTCTCCATCTCCTGCTCTTGTCACATGGCGATGTGTGTGAAAAAAATTCGTACTGGGAAGCTTTCCACCTTTGAGGTTAAGACAGCTGCTGCTGTTTTTGTTCACATTTGAAAATGTACGTTTCGGGGTGGGGGGGAGGTTGTTTCTAAGTATCCTGTTTTGTAATACTAGCACAGATTCCATAGTGTGATAGCCTGGCACATGAGCGGCAAAACTGTGATGACTTATTGGGTCTGGATGTCCACTGACCCCTCCCTAGCGTGGTCAAACGTGCCCCTAATCATGGCTGGCTTCCACGGTGTGCCCACTGACCCCAGGGAAGAGTACTCACTAAGGCTGGCTGCACTGTCCCACGTGGCACAAACATGAGAAAGCCCACAAATGTACAACAGGTAGCATAAATACACTTGATGTTCCTGAGCCCTTGACTTAGGATTAGGGTTTCTATTGCTGAAACAAAGCACCATAATCAAAAAGTAAGTTGGGGAGGAAAGGGTTTATGTGGCTTATACTTCCACATCACTGTTCATCACCAAAGGAAGTAGGGACAAGAACTCAAACAGGACAGGAACCTGGAGGCAGGAGCTGATGCAGAGGCCATGAAGGGGTGCTGCTTACTGGCTTGCTCTACATGGCTTGCTCAGCCTGCTTTCTTATAGAACCCAGGACCACTAGCCCAGGGTTGGTACCACTCACAATGGACTGGGTCCTCCCCCATCAATCACTAAGAAAATGCCTTATAGCTGGATCTTACAAAGACATTTTCTCAATAGAGGCTCCTGCCTCTCTGATGACTCTAGCTTGTGTCAAGCCGACATAAAACCAGTCAATACACTAAGCTATCAGAGAATGTCCCACAGGCCAAAGCCAATTCAATCTGGAGCACTCATCAAAGGAAACAAAGTCACACACACCAAGTAAACAGTAGCAGCATCAAAGTTCTAGAAGGCATAGGGACAGGTAAAGAGACCATGTCACCTGGCCCACTCATACCTCTACCCATCAAAATGACCCTACTGTCAGAAGATAAATCCTCCAAACCAAGGGCCAAGAGTCATCAGCAGGGACTCATCCTAAGAACAGCCTGTACCTTGAGCATGTCTTCCAACAAGTGACCAAGCATAGACTAGCTACCAAGCCTCTCCAGCAAGGACAAGGCTTTGCTCTATGGTAAATACACTCTGTCACCTTCTACGAAACTGAGGGTAAAGCTGGCAGGGTCTTGATCATCCTAAGATTTCGGGGAGGTGTGACATAGCTTTGCAAACAGAAAGCTGAGTACCATCTACATGCACTACTTCACTCGGAACAGACGACCCTCACCATAACAACAGAGGGGCCCTAAGGTTCCTGCTAAAATCCTAAAAGGACCATAGGGTTCATCAATGACTCCCTCTTCCATCTTCAGGCCCAGAGGATCTCTCAAATCCAGACAGTACACCAGGGCATAGACCTCCTTCAAAGGCCATCTCAGAGAGAGAACCAGCCTATTTAGATAAGCAGCTAGAAATGCAGCCTGGCCCAGAAAAGAATTAGCCAAGCCAGGGAGCCTCAAGACTCGTACTCAGTATGGACAAGCTCTTTTGCTCTTTGCAATAAAATATCTTCTGATCTCAATAAGACTAAAATGTGTAGCTACCTTCAAAAACAGGATGACACTGATGTGGTATGATATGAATGAAGTTTCAAAACTTCCAGAAGTTACTTCTTTCTCTGTTACAGAATCCTCCACCCCCAGTTCAAATCCCTAACCTGTAGGGCCATCACAAAGAAACAGCAATCAAAATAAGGCACTGTCTCCAGGAAACTGTTTGTGGAGATTAAGGAGAGAGAGAGAGAGAGAGAGAGAGAGAGAGAGAGAGAGAGAGAGAGAGAGAGAAGAGAGATTCTCTATTTGTCCTCAGCTCACCCAGGCTTGGTATGGTCTACTCTAGCATCACAGACCATCAGGAAATACTATCACACATATATCTTAAAGAGACCATCCAGTCTAGTTCTCTGCCTTTGAAGAGAAGGGGATGATATGTCCACTCTACAATTAAGCCAGCCACTCATTCCGCCTTCCACACCCTGGTGCAGAAGACTGGCCAGGCCCCCTAACATCTGGTTCTGAGCCCTTGACACCTGGTCACTGTCCTGGTAGGACATACAATCATTGAAACTAAAAATTAAGGGTGATGTCTTGGGACCATGAGTGTGCCCCAAGGTAGGTTGCAAAGAAGAAGGTGTCACCCACCCCCAAGAGCTAAAAATGTTTTCTAGTTCATCTTTTCCCAAGGTTCATTGTGACATACCCCATGCACCCAAGCTTCCTCTTCCTCCTTTGGGGCCTGACATTCCTTTTAAATCTTCAAAGACCTTTCTCCCATGGATTCTTGGAATTTAGGTCTAGACTATACTGGCCAGCCTGGAAGAAATGAAGTTTGCTGCTGTAACACCAGAAGTTCAAGAGAGAAAAGTGAGAACAGCATCCCACCCGGCCAACGGCCTCCGTGGGTGAGGAGCCCTGGAGAAGCCTCGCTAGACCCTGGAAGAAAGGGCTTGGGGTAGACCCCCGCAAATCACAGCAACTGGTTGTGAGTGGTGAGGACAGTGTGGAGGTAATTCCCCAAGACTTCTTTCATCAAAGGGTCCATCAGAGCCCAGGCAAAGCCACAAATGCGTCTACAATCATGGCCTGTATACACTTCCCCATCCATCTTGACAGTCCTGTTAGCATTTATTCGAGAAGAATGAATGTGAGGCTACCCTGCCCTGCTTCTTTATTTAGGAAATACTTTCCTTGCAGGGCCAGATGCGCCAACTTCAAGGGCGGTACACTCGGTGCTGATGCCAAAGGCTACAGAAAACATGGCTTAACACCAGCTCTAATTTTGGAAGATTTCCGGAATTTGATGTGGGTAGCCCCAAGGAAATGACCCCAAACACTGAATCCCCTGGGGCGATTTTCAAGGGACAGCCCTAGGAGGTGAGACTTCGGTCCTGGTCCGTGGGTTGCATGGGTTGAATGCTGTTTCTCTCTTTGTTTCTGACTGCTTCTGTTTCTTGGGACTAAGAAAGACTCATTTTGGAAGGGGAAGAGTGATGGGGAGGAGGGAGTGGGGAGGTCGTCCAGCTTCTTTTCATCCACTGCACGGAAAGTGTGCTGCTGGACACACAGTTCACACACAGTTCGTTCTCTCTTGCTTTGCAGTCAGTCCAAGCCCCCGGTTCTCCCACCCTCGGTAGAAAGGATTGATTTGTTGGTTCGTTTTCTGAGTGAATAAAGCAATTGCCACCAGCCAGTCACCCACCCACCCCCGCCCGCAGGAGGCAGAGGAAAACCAGTGCCTCCCCGGAGTAACTTAAACATTCCTCAGGGAGGGAATGTTCCTTCGGTGGTGGAAGCGAGAGCCCTAGGGGCCCGAGGAGCTGCAGGACCCCTCTGTCGTCGGGTCCTCGACAGCCCCCCCCCCGCCCCTGCCAGCCCCGCAACCTGGCGAGGCCCAAGGTTCCCAGACGCGCGGGTGCAGACGGAGCGATCGGAGACGCTCAGGAGCAGCTGGGACCCGGCGGCCGGTGCCGGGCGCGGGAAGGAGCGCGCCGGAGCCGGGTAGCGCCGGGACAAAGGCGCGCAGGAGTGGGGATCCCCGTAGGCTGGGGCCAGGACTCACCCCGAGAAGACACACTTTGAGCTCCCGTATCGCCATCATGTGCTCTGGGCCGGGCCGGGCCGGGGCTCAGCAGCATCGTCCGGGCCGCACCGCGCCCAGCCTGCGTCCAGCCGTCTCCCAGCGCTCTCGCCCGCCGCGGGGCGGAACCGTCGCCGCGGCTATTTCTGGGCCGCGGCCTCCGCGGTCGGTCACGTGCCGCCGGCCGGCTCCTCCCGACGCGTCGAGCCTAGCCTAGCCTAGCCGCCGGGCTTCGGCTCCGCCCGGGTCCGGCTGGCGTCGGCCTCCGGTGGCCACCCAACACCGGACTTGCGGGCAGACCCGTCCCTTCCCGCAATCAGATCTGAGCCCGGTCGGCCCACCTTCTGCCTTGGGAGACCTGAACCCAGGACCTGTCGGGTCATAAAGAGCCATTCATATAGTTTATGCTGTTGGCTGTGGTTCTAAGAGGGCTCTTCCAAGTCGCTGGGTAGTCCCAGCGTTAAGTGACACTGAGGCGGGCGAGACACAGCCACGAGGACCGGGATGAGTAGAGGAAAGGGTTAACTTGCCTCATCTACTGCCCGGGCTTCACTTTGCCCTACAGTGCCTTTTTTTCTGTAGGTAGCGAAAGATGATCCGAGAAACCATCATTTGTTTCTGCTTCCAAAACTGGCATGCCAGAGCCTGGGAGAGGAAGGGTGCATTCTGGAGAGGAAGCCCCCTTCCTCCTTCCTCCACGTAGAAAATCCTACAGCTGTGTGGGCAGGAGCTCAGCCGAAAGTGAAGCCAGAATGGGGTCTGGCGGCCCTTCTCCAGACTCCTCTACTAGGAAACTGAGGTTGCGACCCTTCTCCAGACTCCTCTACTAGGAAACTGAGGCTGCGACCCTTCTCCAGACTCCTCTACTAGGAAACTGAGGCTGCGGCTTCACACGGGGGGGGGGGGGGAATGTCGTCTTCTCGTTGTGACTCGGTGGACCTCAAGCCTCTGGGATGGCTTCATTTGTTGACGCATAGAAATGTCAGCTTTTGGGGAGTAATCTGGTACTTCTAATTGTAGACGTTTATTTTAAACAACAACCCGGTTTGGACTGGGATGTGGCTTCAACTGGTAGAGTGCTTGCCCAGCATGCCTGAAGCCCTGGGTTTGATGACACCCACCCACCCCCCACCCCACCCCTTGCCGCCCTCTGCATACTCCCCCACCCCCAACCCCGCATACCCCGCTCGCCCCGCACATGGTGGGTGTTAGATCCGAATTGATCCAGGCGACATGGAAATAAAGATACACACCTCTACAGAAGCAGAATTATGCTTTAATCAGAACAATGCAGGGAAGCAGTCTCTCAGAGGAAGTGGAGGCTGAACCCAAGCACAGGAGGCTTTGGGCTTTATAGGCAAAAGAGCGATCGTTAGGAGAGGGAAGTTTTTTTTCTGTAGATGTGTACTTTGTAGTTTCAAGGCCCAGTAATGCCAGCAGATGTTCTCATTACTGTATTGGCTTTCTTGTTGGGCAGGTGTTCTTATCAGTATGCTGAGTCTGGAGTTTCTCAGCTCCTTTGAAGTTCCTTATGGTAGGTCATTAACCCTTCAGTGGCATATGCCCTTAATTCTAGGCAGGAGATCAGAAGTTCAAGATTATCCTGAGCTACCTAGAAACTTCCAGGCCAGCCTGGGTTACATGAGACTTTATTTCAAATAAACAAAACAAAAGCCACAGTTTTGTTGTTGATGATGGTTTTGTTTTTCAAGGCAGGATTTCTCTCTGTAGCCCTGGCTGTCCTGGAACTCGCTCTGTAGACCAGGCTGGCCTGGAACTCACATAGATCCACCTGCCTCTGCCTCCCCAGTGCTGGGATTAAAGTTGCATACCACCACCCAGCCCAAAAGCCAGTTTTAAGATGTATTTATATATTTTATATATGTGGATGTTTTGTCTGCATGTACAGCTGCACACCAGAAGAGGGCATTGTATCCCATGGACTACAGTTATAGATGGTTGTGAGCTGCCATGTGGGAGCCGGAATGTGGGACTGGGATTTGAACTCAGTATCTCTGGAAAATCAGCCAGTACTCTTAACTGCTGAGCCATCTCTCTAGGCCCCCAAAGCCAGTTTTAACAAGTCATTCAGCATCCCCAATCCTCTGGCCTCTTCTATAACTTTTCACATCTGACCAATGGCTCTTTCCATTTTTCCAGGAGACCTTAGTTATCATCTGGCTTTGCTTCTACTGAAACCAGATGGAAGCTACTTTGGCCCTGAAGTGGCCCCTCGTGGTGAGGATTCCAAAGCAAGACCCACAAACAGAACAGTTCTAGAACCCTGGAGTCCAAACAGGCCCCAAGCAAACTTGCAATGAATCAAGTTCCCCAGAGTAGCAGGAACTTTGCTTCGAGGAGGTGCAGGCTAGTAGAGGCCTACTTGTCTGGACTGAATTGATCAAAAGGTAGCCCACGTGGACAGGTCACGTCACGGGTCCTATTCAATGTCTCTTTTGTGTCAATATCTCTCCTTGATTCAGCATCCAAGGACAGCCAGTTCTGTGTGGGCAGGTTGAAGGTAGGCTACGGTGTCCAGCTGGAGCACAATACCTCCCTGATGCTCAGGTTTGCTCAGCTGAGAGCATCTGTTAGGCGCAACTTCAGACACTTTGGCCAGGGCTCTATCCTGCTTTCGCTGGCACCTACGTGTTCTGTAACGAGTAGGATTTGACCTTCCGTACTGAAGTGTGTACACCTTCTAAAGCCAAGGTGTGTTCTCCGTTTATTACTTCCTGTGGAGTGAGCGTGGCTCAGGAAACTGCAGTACGTGCTGAGAGGGCTGTGTCCAGGAGGACAGGTGCAGACAGGACACCCTCCTGCTGCCTTCATCTTTTTAGCACATCTCTCATTTCTGCTCTTCTCCACTCCTTTTGGTGTCTGAGATGCATGGGTGCTTTCTAGGTTTCCCTACAAGGTCCCCTGCGCAGGCTTTTCCTCACTGAGAATCCCTCCAACCCCATTGTCCTCTCAACTCCAGGACCCACCCAAAACTATCTCATTCCTAACTCACTGTAGTCGAGTTTCTTGAGGGGTGGGTATGGTTTGGGGCTCAGGTTTTTGTTGTGGTTGTTGTTTTGAAGACAGGATCTTGAGCAGCCCAGGGTGGCCTCAGACTCGCTGTGTAACTGAGGCTGCTCTTGAACTCTTCTTGCCTCAGCCTCCCAGGTGCTAGAATGATGGACATGTACCACCACACCTGGCTTCATTATAGTGAAGTCTCGCTCTCTGCCTTATGGCAACACTAGTCTGTCAACCAGAAATGTTCATGGGTTTATTCTCTTCCTCATCCACATCTCCACCTGGAGACTTTGACATGACCTCATAAAAAACCAGATCTCCGTGATCACTCGGTGGACACGCATAAAGCTGTAGCCCGAAGGAAGATGGACAGCTGCTGTGAAACAGGATGTTCTGGAATGATGGATCCTAAGCAGCTTCCAGGTTTTTAAGGGCAAATGTTCTTTATTATTTTCTGCTTACTTCGTGACAAGTTCATTATATTAGTCAGTGTCTTGTCACCGAGGCTCCCAAACCTTAAAAAGGAAGTTTGTTTAGTTCACGGTTTGAAAAGGTGAAAGTCTAGCCAGGCGGTGGTGGCATACATCGTTAATCCCAGCACTCAGGAGGCAGAGGCGGGAGGATCTCTAAGTTCTAGGCCAGCCTGGTCTACAGAACTACAGAGATAGTTCCAGGACAGACAGGCCTGGGCTACAGAGAGAAACCCTGTCCGTCTTTTTAAAAAGCAGTGGTATATAACCGACAAGGTACCCAACAGCCAGACGGGACGTACAAGCTTTTCTCTTAAGTACTTTGTAAAATGTGCTTAAAATGGGTGCTAAAAATGGCTGCCACTTTTGTGCTGTCTCAAGGTCTCTGGGAACCCCTCCCCAAGGCCTTCCTCCCAGATGGGAGCTGTTTTCACAGGAAATAAGTCACAGATAACCAGGTCCAGGTGGTAGTGGCTTCCTGCCAAGCTTGTGGCCTCTTCCTCAGTCTCTCCGTGTGCAGAATGCCCGATGGCTGCCATAGGACAGTCCTCAGGTGGCAGCAATGAACCATGGATGTGCCATCTTTCTGTGCACCATGCACAGAGAACCTAAGGGCACATGAGCAGATAGCCCAGCATGGAACTCAATGCTGAGAGCGGAGACCAGGCAGGCTGTGAAAAGAACCTTGTTCCGTACTCTGCACCAGTGTATAGGAGCACAGACCAGACTACAGCCCATCTTCACTCCAGGAACTCTTGGCTTGGTTGGCACTGCTTGCTTCTTGATAATTTCTCATTCAAACTGAGCAGAAGAGCCGTGAGCTGACTGATAACAGTACCACCTACAGGATGAAATCGAAACTCCCTAGCTGGCCTTCTGACGTTGTTTGGGAATATTATTTTAAGATGTGTTACTTTTGTTTATGTTGCATTTGTTTAACTGTGTGAAGCTGTGTTACTGTGCCTGTCTAAAACACCTGATTGGTCTAACAAAGAGCTGAACGGCCAATGATGAAGCAGGAGAGAGAAATCGACAGGACCACTAGGCAGAGAGACTATATAGAAGGAGAAATCTGGGAGAGAAGAGATCTAGAAGAGGAAGTAGCCAGAGAAGGTGGAGGATCCAGCTATACAGCAAGTCACGGAGTAAGAAACAAAGAAAGGTATACAGGAATAGAAAAGGAAAAGCCTAGAGGCAAAAGATAGACGGGCTAATTTAAGTTAAGGAAAGCTGGCTAGAAACAAGCCACACTAAGGCCAGTTATGTATAATTAGGAATAAGCCTCCAAGTGTGATTTATTTGGGAGCTGGGTGGTGGGTCCCCAAAAGAGCAAAACAACCAATAGCAGGACACCCTCCTCACACTTGCCTTTTCTCAGCCCACCACATAGGACCTTATCATTTAAGGAGCTACTCAAATTCAATCTCTATCAAAAAGCCTCCTGCTCATAACTCAGTATGAATGAAGTCCTAACGCTGAGTCCTTTTTAAATGAGTCTGGGGCTAAACAGACACACATGTACTTATCTGTCCATATGAGAAGTTAAGAAACCTCTGATTTCAGAGGTTTTAAAATGATTTCAAACACTTTTAAGTGACTCCTCCTGAGTCTATAGCTTGCCTGGGACATTTTTCAAGCAGGACTTT